GACTGGTGGTTCAAACCCACCAGCCACTCCCTTGAAGGAAGACTGGGTAACCTACTCCCATAAAGATTAACACCTCAAAAACCCAAAGAGGGTCACTATGAGTCAGAATTGACTCAATGACAGTGAGTTTGGTGTTTTTTTATGTATCTGTGTGACTGTGTGCACATATATTCATATGTATAATAGGAGCTCTGGTGGCGTGGTGCCTAAGGCATTTGACTGCTAACCAGAAGGCTGGCAGTGCAAACCCACCAGCCACTCTTCAGAAGGAAGGTTGGGCAATCTACTTCCATAGAGATACTGCCTCAGAAACCCAAGGAAGGGTCACTATGAGTCGGATCTGATGCAACAGCAGTGAATTTGGTTTTGGTTTTTTGAATAAAATATATGTTGTTGTTGTTTTTGTTGTTAGGTGCCTTCAAGTCAGCTCCGATTCATAGCAACCCTGTGTACAATAGAATGAAACACTGCCCAGTCCTGTGCCAGCCTCACAGTCCTTGCTATACCTGAGCCCTTTGTTGTAGCCATTGTGTCAGTCCATCTCATTGAGGGCCTTCCTCTTTTTTATTGACCCGCCACTTTGCTAAGCATGATATTTTTTTTCCAGGGAATGGTCCCTTCTGAAACATAACCCAAGTAGGTGAGACAAACTATGGCCCTTCTTGCTTCCAAGGAGCATTCCAGCTGTGCTTCTTCCAGGACAGATTTTTTCATTCTTCTGGCAGTCATACCTTCAGTATTCTTCACCAACACCACAATTCAAAAACATCAACTCTTCTTTGGTCTTCCTTATTCATTATTCTGCTTTCACATGCATATGAAGTGATTGAAAATACCATGGCTTGGGTTAGGCACAAAGAGACATCTTTGCTCTTCAGCACTTTAAAGAGTCTTTTGCAACAGATTTGTCCAGTGAAATACATCATCTGATTTCTTGACTGCTGCTTCCATTCATGCTGATTGTGGAACCAAGTAATGTGAAATGTTTGACATTCAATCTTTTCTCCATTTATCATGATGCTGCTTATTGGTCCAGTTGTGAGGATTTTTGTTTTCTTTATGTTGGGATGTAATCCATACTGCAAACTGTAATCTTTAACCTTCATCAGTAAGTACTTCAAGTCATCTTGACTTTCAGCAAGCAAAGTTGTGTTATCTGCATATCGCAGGTTGTTAATGAGTCTTCCTCCATTCTTGATGCTGCACTCCTCTTCATATAGTCCAGCTTCTTAGATTATTTGCTGAGCATATAGATTGAATGAGTATGGTGAAAGGATACAACCCTGACGCACTCCCTTCCTGATTTTAAACCATGCAGTATCCTTTTGTTGTTTTTGAACAACAGCCTCCTGCTCTATGTACAGGTTCCTCATGAGTGCAATTAAGTGTTCTGGAATTCCCATTCTTCTCAATGTTATCCATAATCTGTTGTAATCCACACAATCGAATGCCTTTGCAAAGTCAATAAAACAAGTAAACTTCTTTCTGGTATTCTTTCCTTTGAGCCAAAATCCATCTGATATCAGCAATGATATCCCTCATACCATGTCATCTTCTGAATACAGCTTGCATTTCTGGAAGTTCTCTGTCAGTATCCTGCTGCAACCTTTTTTGAATTATCTTCAGCAAGATTTTACTTGCGTGTGATATTAATGATATTGTTTGATAATTTCCAAATTCTGTGGGATCACCATTCTTTGGAATGGGTACAAATATGGGTCTCTTCCAGTGTGTTGGCCAGGTAGCTGTCTTCTAAATTTCTTGGCATAGAAGAGTGAGTGCCTTCAGCCTGGCATCTGTTTGTTGAAGCATTTCAGTGGGTATTCCATCAATTTCTGGAACCCTATTCTTGTCCATTTCCTTTGGTGAAGCTTCAACTTCTTCCTTGAATACCATTGGCTCTTGATCATATGCCACCTCCTGAAATGGATGAACATCACCCAATTCTTTTTGGTACAGTGACTCTGTCCTTTTCTTTATTTCTTTCATCTTGAGAAATGCCAAGTATGTTCTTCCCTTTTGATTCCTAACTCCAGGTCTTTGCACATTTCATTATAATAATTGACTTTGTCTTCTCGAGCTGCTCTTTGAAATCTGTTCTGCTCTTTTATCTTGTCATTTCTTTCATTTACTTTAGCTACTCTTCATTCAATGGCAATTTTAAGAGTCTCTTCTGACATCTCCTTTGGTTTTTCCTTCCTTTCCTGTCTTTTTGATGATCTTTTGCTTTCTTCATGGATAATATTCTTGATGTCCTCCCACAATTCCTCTGGTTTTTTGCATCAAATCTATTCTTTCAGTGGTCTCTAAATTCAGGAAGGATATAATCAAGGTCATATTTTGGCTCTTGTGGACTTCTCTTAATTCAGGTCAGAAGGCACTCAAAATACAACTGGGGAAGAGCTGCCTCCTCAGAGTGGAGTCAACCTTAATTATGTGGATGCAATAAAGCTTTTAGGACCTCCTTTTGCTGATGTGGCACAACTCGATGTGGAAAGAAACAGCTGCAAACATCCATTAATAATTGCAACATGGAATGTATAAAGTATGAATCTAGGAAAATTGGAAGTTGTCAAAAATGAAGTCGAATGCATAAAGATAGATATCCTAGGCATTAGTGAGGTGAAATAGACTATTTTGGTCATTTTGAATCAGACAAGCATATGATCTACTATGCCGGGAATGACAAATTGAAGAGGAATGGCACAGCATTCATCGTCACAAAGAAAGTTTCAAGATCTATCCTGAAGTACAATGCTGTCAGTGATAAGATAATATCCATGTGCCTTCAAGGAAGACCAGTTAATACTACTATTATTCAAATTTACGCACCAACCACCAAAGCCAAAGACAAGGATATTGAAGATTTTTACCAACTTCTACAGTCTGAAATTGACCAAACATGCAATCAAGATATGTTGATTATTACTGGTGATTGGAATGCAAAAGTTGGAAACAAAGAAGAATCACCAGTACTTAGAAAATATGACCTTGTTGACAGAAATGACACTGGAAATTACATGATAGAATTTTGCAAGATCAATGACTTACACATTGCAAATACCTTTTTCCAACTGCTATATACATAGACTTCACCAGATAGAGTACACAGGAATCAGGTCGACTACATCTGTGGAAAGAGGCGATAGAGAAGCTTACTATCTTCAGCCAAATCAAAGCCAGGAGCTGGCCGTGGAACAGACCATCAACTGCTCTTTTGCGAGTTCATGTTGAAGCTGAAGACAGTTGAAAGAAGTCCATAAAAGCCAAAATATGGCCTTGATTATATCCCTCCTGAGTAAAGCACATAGTAAACACAATTATAGATACTTCTAAGACAAAACCAAATTCCTATGTGATGGATTTCTAGGTTTGGTGGATTGGCACCATAGTCTCATGGAACACCTCAGTCAATTGGCATAATACAATTCATGAAATTATGTCCTGCATTCTAGTTAACCAGAAAATAGTGGATTAGATGAATAGTGTCTGGGGACTTAAAAGCTCATGATTGGTCATTTAAGATACAACTATTGGTATCTACTTAACTGGAGCAAATGAGAAAGAAAGAAACCAAAGACTCAAAGAAGAACTTAGTCAATAGAACATATACTCTATATGATCCACAGTCTCATCTACTCTGAAACCAGAAGAACTATGGTGCCCAACTACCACTACTAGCAGTTCTAATCAGGGCCACAATAGATGAACTCTGAGAGAATGGAAGAAAAATATGGAACAGAACCTCAAATTATTAAAAAAGAAACAAAACCTACTGGATTTGTTGAGACTGGAGAACTCGATCTTCAAGACTATTGCCCTGAGATACTTTTTAAGTCTTTACTGAAACTAAACCATAAGGTCACCATATAACTAATTAACAGATTGGCTCAAAAAATAATTACATCACCCATAAGTACTATGCTGCTTTAAATAACTCATCCATATGAGACCAAGTTGTCAACAATTACTTTAAAACAAAAATGGGAATGTAAGGGGCAAGGAAACTAGATGAATGGCAACAAAACAACCAGAATGGAAATAGAATGTTCATGCGTTGTAAAGAATGTAACCAATGTCACTGAACAATTTGTGTAGAAATTGTTAAATGGAACCTAAACTTCTGTGTAAACCTGAAAACACAATAAAATAGTATTTAAAGAAAGAGATAGTATATCTTAGAGTTGCATACTGAAATAAATATTTGTGGCTAAAATAATATGATGCCTGGTGTTGCTAGAACATAATCATTTTAAAGTGTGGGAAAGTGAGTGGGGTTATAGATAAAAAGGGTAAATCACATATCCTGTCTTTTATTAAATGTATTCCTATTTTTTAGCCTTTGGTTATTATTTTTGAATGGATTTTCCCCTTTTCCATTTTCAGGGGTTTATTACAAATCTATTCTTTCTGTTAAAAAAATAAAGGTAAATCATGAATCGATAATTATTGAATCTGGGTAACGTGCACAATATGGTTCATTATACTATTCTTTTACTTTCTAAGTTTGAAATTTTTCATAATGAATAGTTAAAGAAAAATATGTTTAAATATAAAGCCTTTGTCAATTGACTATATAATATACCTCATTTTTAAAAAGCCTTTCACATCTGTTCCTTTTCCACATTTCCTGTTTAAACATTTTTTATACTTTTTTCTGTGTTTACTGATGCATGTTTCGTAAGTTTCTATAGTTATTTTTAAATATTGCTTTTTATTCTCCCTCACTTTTTTATAAATTCTGTAAAGGCAGAAATTATGGTTGTTACCACTTTTCTAAATATTTCCAAGGACTCATCCAATGTTTAATTCATTTTCATATGTATTTAATGATTATTGATTATGTCTGCAGTGCTAGGCTATGTACAACATCAGTAAGATTTTGTATTGGCAGTAAAGAATCTACAATTTGGAAATGAAAACTTGTTTGTGTTACTATTCTATAATTACTTTAATATACTCAAAATAAACCTGAAATTATTTATATTTTTATTATTTAGAAACCAACTTTGATCCAGCAGAATGGGGGACTAAGGTAGACGACCGCTTCTATAACAACCATGCATTCAAGGTATTGTGAAGCTATTGGATTTAGCCATTTCTTCTGTCTCCAAAACAGAGATTGTTGGAATCATGATAATTGTGAAAGCATCACAAATATCTTACTAAACTTTTTTAATTGTGCTGGATTTTTTTCTAATTAGAAATAATTTTCTAAAGTATCTGAATAGTGTACAAATTCTCAGCTCAAGTTTAAAGATGATCAAGGAAAAAAAAGTGCTTGAAAGGTGTAGATTAATTACTCAGTCATTTATTCATCAAATATTTATTGAGCATCAATGCTTAGCACATAGCAGGTACTAAATAAATATTTGTTGATTAACAAATAATTATATGTCCTAAAATAATCCAGTTAATTCATTATCATTGATATGTTACAAAAAACTGACTAGAGTTAAAGATTGTAATAGTACATCCACTGCCATTGAATGGATTCCAACTCATAGTGACCCCCACTGGGAAAATCTTTATGGACATAGATTTCTGAGGGCTGGTGGGTTTTAACCGCCAACCTTGCAGTTAGCAGTCAAATGCCTTAGGCACTGCACCAGCAGAACTCTTTGGTAATAGTATAGAGTTTTCTTTATAAAGCCAGTCTTACATATGTATTTGTATGTACCATAAGAATGTCCAAATACATAATAGAGCTAACAAGGGGCAAAGTTAGATGACTTCTTGGCCATAGCCAATCACCCTGAGGGACTAAGTAGTTGAACCTATGGGCTCAGGACCATAGTCACAGAGGACATCTAGCTCATTTGGCATAATATACTACACAAAAACATTGTTCTACATCCTTCTTTGGTGAGTAGTAACTGTGGTCTTAAAAGCTTACAAGCAGCCATCTAGATGCACCAGTGGGTCTCTCCTCATCCAGAGCAAAGAAGAAGGAAGAAAACCAAAAATGCATGAAAACAATTTGTCCAAGCAACTAGTAGACAATGTGATCCTCACCCTATATGACCATGAGCCCAGAACCAGATGGTGTCCGACTACCCATTGTAAACCACTCAGACGGGGATCGGTGCAGGAGATCCCAGATAAAGTGGAAGAACAATGGGGAACAAAATTCAAAATCATTAAAAAAAAAAAAAAAGACCAGGTTTAATGGTGAGACCTCTGAGACTATGGCCCCTAGTTAACCTTCAGGTCTGGAACTGAACTCACTCCCGTGGATTACAGCCAAACAATAGACAGGCAGATAAGGTGAACATTTCTATCAGGTAGGTATACTCCTTAGAGCAATCAATCCTGGAAGAACAGAAGGGCAGTGTTTGCATAGGGAGATAGCTGGGGGTGGGGGCAGGAATGCATAGGAAAGAAGGATGCAGGGAAGAGGAAACTACAGAGAGGAAGTGGGAAGAGACCTGTTGTTACATTATGGGGAATTGTAGTCAATGTCATGAAACATAATGTGTATGAATTGTTGTATGGAAAATGAATTTGCTCCATATACTTTCACCCAAATCACAGTAAAAATTGTTTAAAAATAAAAAATCCAGTCTTTTCAGAGACTGGACCAATCTTTCTCTTTAGCACCATTCTTAAAACCAAGCTTTCTCAACTGGGATTCCTCAAAATAATTAAGCCCTAAGCCACAGGCCACCTATTACATATAAGGAATCAATATCTCTCCTTTGTATCTACAGTGGTGCTAGTTATGTACCATTCTTGGGAGAATTTAGAAAATAGTCACTTAAGCATTTTATGTGTTCTGGAGTTCAGATGAGGAATCCTGGTAGAGAATGTTTGTGTGGAATCAGCATCATTGGTATCACCTGGGGTCTTGATAGAAATGCAAAATATTGGGCCCTACCTAGATCAGTGAAAAGGAGGAAGACCCTCAACAAGATGAAACTGACACAGTGGCTGCAACAATGGACTCAAACATAGCAACGATCATGAGGATGGCACAGGACCAAGCAGTGTTTTGTTGTGTTGTACATAAAGTCGCTATGAGTTGGAATCAACTCAATGGCAGCTAACAACAACAATTACACTTAGATCTACAAATCAGAAGTTATGTTTTAACAGGATCCCCAAAGTAAGCTTAGGTTTTAAAGCTTAAGTTATGGTGACTAATCACTATTCTAGACAACTGAAATAATACTGTTAGCTACAAAGCACCAACAGATATTAGAATTAAAAAGAATGAACAAAGTTCAAGTTTTGATGGTGTTTCCCACTAGTCTCTGGAAAATTCCCAGGAAAGTAGTTGCCGTTTATTTCCTGAGTTCAAAAGTGAAATTCCATCCATTTGTACATGTCAGATATGAGTGTTCTGTTTAATTCCATTTAACTAGATTCTCTGTGTTCGTATTTTATTTATATTCCTATTTCATTGAAATCGAAGGGATAATGTTGAAAATTTTTAATCCTTGTGTCATATAGCAGTTAAGGAGTTTTTGCCCCCTCTTAAATTGCATAGGCTTTATTGATTAGATTATATGTCTTCAAAATTCTGTTGTATGAGTTGAAGCTCTTCTCATAGGTAATGACTTAGCATTTTGGAGGAAGATTTTAATAACTATATCAAAATGGTCAGTGCTGGTTTCTTTTCTTCCATTTAAACTATTCCCCACAGCAAAACTAACTTCTTTTGACTGAGTTTTTACTCCACACACATTACAAAGTCAGTTTAACCTCACATTATGGAGTACAGTGGCATTTATTTTGTTGCTATTTTAGGAACTATTTGTACAACTTTTTAATATTTTGTTTAGGATTCATTATAGCATCTTACCAACTTTTAGTGTAAAACAATAGTTTAATGATCTTTAGTGTAAAGAAAGAGGAAACTGTTCTGTGATGGGACAAGGCATACACATTCCAAAAGCAAAAGAACAAACATTTGTACTAGTTCCTTGGTCTTTGATATTTGTTTACTCATATAATCTTGAGGGTTTTCATTTTTTCCTTCTTGTTCCAACCTACTTTTCTTCTTAAAAGATCGGTACATATTTATTTCTGCTTACTTCTCAATAATTTAAAGTAATATTTAACTACTTTTAAGCAGTTTTATACAAGACTTTGCTGTTTTGAAAACATTGCCATTTGGCCTTCTTCTCTCTCCAGGAGCAAGAACCACCTGAGAAAGGTACACCTGAAAAAGAAAAGTCTCAGGAACCTGTGAAAGAGGAAGAGACACCAGTCACAGTCTTAGTAAGTAATATCTTCCAAATAACTTTGGATTCCAACAAGAATGATAATGTTCAATCTGAAAGTTGTACTCCAGATATGAATCCAGTCTTTTACCTATTATTGTTAAAATTATGGATTTTCCTATCTAGATAATTAACATCAGTGGTGAGCTAACCGGTGGATCATTTTCAGCCATACCTCTTGTAAAAACTCATTCTTCCCCTTAAAATCAAGTCTTATTTCTCAAGATTGTCGATGGAGGGGAATATCTCCCCATGGTAAAGGTCAGGCAAAAGTCACAGCCCCAGTCTTGTTCTTTCAAAGTCAGCTTCTACTTTGGAAATTTTTCACTAATTGATGCTGTCACCACCACACAATGGAAAAGGTCCAGAGATAACAAAAAGAAACCAAATAAAATGGCTTTACAAAATATAGCTTACTCACCTTCCATGCATATACCTCTATAAAAATGCCTTTCTGCCTGATAGCCTACATCAAAGCAGTAGAGATCTGGGGAGATTTCACCCTCAAAGTACCTATATGTAGGTATATGGAAGCCAGTTCTCAAGTAACACTTATGCATATCTCTACCCAACTTCATGTGTAGTCATCTTGGTAGCTTGCAGTAAGGCACAGTGAGAGTATTAATGCTGTGGAAAATACTATAAATCAGGGCTTTTTTTTTTTTTTTTTCCTTCTGAGGCATCAACCAAAAACCAAACCTATGGTGACGGAGTTGATTCCAACTAATACCAACTCTATAGGACAGGGTAAACTGCCCCTTAGGGTTTCCAAAGTTGTAATCATTATGGAAGCAGACTGCCACATCTTTCTCCCATGGAGCTGCTGATAGGTTCAAAGCACTGACTCTTGGTTAGTAGCTGAGTGTTTAACCACTCTGCTACTAAGGCTACTATCTGAAGAACCAGTTGTTAGGCATTTATCAGCACCCCACTGCCTATATTCTTCATAGTCTATATTCAAGAGGACGAGGCATAGTAAGAGCATTCTCTATGTTGAAGGCCAAACTTCCAAGTTCCTTTTAATATCCCAGTTAGTAAACCAATAATTAGCACCCAAAGGGGCATCCCTCCTCAAGGAATACTTCAGTTCCTACTCACTGAGTCATGACTTTTTCCTATAACCTTTGCAAGTTATACCAAAATTATTTGAATATAATCCAATAAGTCTAACATTGACATAAGATGCAATGGGAGGTCCAGAAAGAAGGAAGGGAGTGTTATTTCCTTACATCTTTCATAGGTGCCCTTATACAGGTTTTTGTTTTGTTTTGTTTTTTTTATTTTCAGTTGGGATCTTATTGATTTCTAACTTGATCATAATTAATTTGCCCATTTTGGAATATCATTTTGGAAGATTTTATACCATTCTTTTTGCATTTAAAAGACTTAGAGTTAGATTTGCCTGATTGTAATGGAGGTATGGGGAGGGAAGAAACAAGCCAAAGATCCATTCAGTTAAAGATTTGGGTAAATAAAGTAGAATTATATACTGAATAATAACATCAAAAAAGAGAACTAAGATATATTATTACATGAAAAAAGTAGTTTCAGAACAGTGGTTAGCAATAACCTCATTTTTTAAATTAAAAAGTGTATATATACTCACATGAATGTATTTGTAAACAGAAAAATCCTGAAAGGATATATATACACTCCAACCATAATAATGGTTACTTCTAAGGAATATAAGATATCCATTGATATTTATATTTTTTACATGTGCCAGTGTCATTTTATAATTTAAAAACCTATCCAGTATTTCCCCTTATCCTCAGTTTTACTTTCTGCAGTTTCAATTACCTGCAGTCAACTGGGGTGAGAAAATAATAGCCTAACACTATGTCACAATGGCTATGTCATTTAGCTCACATAACTTTTATTACAGTATATTGTTATACTTGTATTTCATAATTAGTTATTATTGCTAATCTCTTACTGTGCCTAATTTATAAATGAAACTTCATCATAGGTGTGTATGTATAGGAAAAAAAAACATAGTATACATAGATTCAGTAAGGAGCTCTGGTGGTGTAGTGGTTAAGGCATTTGGCTGCTAACCATAAAGGTCAGTGGTTTGAACCTACCAGCTACTCCGTGGAAGCAAGATGAGGCAATCTGCTTCTGTAAAGATTTACAGCCTTGGAAACCCAATAGAGGTCACTGTGAGTCAGAATCAACTCAATGTCAGTGGGTTTGGTGGATTATAGTAGGGTAGGGTTCAGTACTATCTACAGTTTCAAGCCACTGGGGGTCTTGACATATATCCTCTGTGGGTAAGGGGGCAACTACTATATTAAAACTATGTATTTATTGAAGTGTACACTTAAAATCTATGCATTTCACTGTCTATATAGTATACCTGCATTTATTTAAAAAAAGAAAAAGAAGCTATATAGCAACCCACCATGTTAGAACTGACTAAGGGATTTATCTTTGACACTGCACTGTAGATGTATGATTTTGATTATCTAATCATTGAGAAATTAAGAAGTTAACATTCTAATCCATTTTGTATAATTATGATTATTTTAAAACAGCACGTTTATTATTCTTGACATTTTTACTAGCTTCAAGGATTCTTCCTTGTTTCCCCAAAAAATGTTACTGCTCGGGAAACTGTTAAATAGGAGCTATTTTGGAAAAAAAAAAAAAAGCTGGCAGTGATCTTTTATTGCAGAGACATATTAAAAAGTGGCAAAACAAAATGCCTGCTATTTTGGCATTCACCATTTGGTAGATATACACCGTGACAATATATAAAATTCCCTTAAGAAGCAGCAGATCTCGGATTGTGTCATCCCTAAATTGATGAAATTTATGAATTTATTTTTATGGCATCAAAAATATGAGATTTTTTAACAAGACTTGTGTTTTTTCTCTTTTCAATGAAGTATTCTTCTGAGAAAGATAAGGACAAAGTGAAGTTTGCTGCTCTCAAAATCCAAGCAGTCTTCCGGGGTTACTTAGCCAGAGAAATGGTGAAGAAGATGAAATCAGTTGGAGGTGTAACACAAGAAAAAGTGGAAACAGCATGAGGAGACTGATTTCACCCCAGGAAACATGAAAAAAAAATAATCCAAATCCATAAACCTTGTGTGAGATTGTCATTTTTTTCCTTAGTAAGGGAGATTTGATGTAGTAAAAAAAAAAAAAAATCATTTTTTGCTGTTTTGAAAACCTGGCATGAGCATTTGTTTAATAAAAATGCCATCTGAAACATGCCACTTGACAATTTCTCTTAGATTATAAGTATTATTTACATTTCTCCCAAAACTGTGTATGGAGACCCTTGGACTTAGAGTGACATAACTGTAGAACCCAAATTTTCAGAGATCACAGAAATTATGAAGTTCTAAACATTATCTAATGAATAAATCTTTTCTATCATCCCAAAAATAGGGTCCTGTAGCTCCTGTTGCAGTCCTGTTGTTGTTGTTCTTGTTATGTGCCGTCGAGTCAAACCCAACTCATAGTGACCCCTCCTTAGGTTTCTGAGGCAGTATCACTATAGAAGTAGATTGCCCAACCTTCTTCCTAGTGGTAGAGAATCTCACTACGTTTCAAAAGTAATCCCTTTAATTAATTATTTATTTATTTTAAACATTTATTGTGATTTGGGTGAAAGTTTACAGACGAAATTCATTTTCCAGACAGCAGTTCATACACTTTTTGTTTCATGGCATTGACTGGAATTTCCCACAATGTAACAGCTCTCTTCTCACTTCCTCCCTGTGTCCTTTCCTCACATGCACTCCTGCCCCCTGAGCTATCTCCCTGTGTAAATACTGCCCTTCTATTCTCCCACAATTGATCACTCCAGGGAGTGTATCTACCTGATGTAAATGTTTCACCCCATATGCCTGTCTGTTGTTTGGCTGGAAGCCACAGGTGGTTGTTGTTGTTATATGCCATCAGAAGTAAGTTCAATTCCAGACGTGAAGGTAACTAAGAGCCATAGTCTCGGGTCTCACCAGGCTCTATCAGACCAGTAAAACTGGTCTCTTTTTTTATGATTTTGACTTTTGTTCCACATTGCTATCCCACTCTATCCAGGATCTCCTGCACCCATCACCCTCCAAGTGGTTAACAGTAGCAGCCTGGCACCCTCTTTCTTCTGGCCTCACGGTCATATAGGCTGAGGATTGCATGCCCTACTAGTCCCTTGGACTGTTTCCTTGTGTCTTTGGTTTCCTTCATTCTTCTCTACTCTGGATGAGGAGAGACTGATTGTTGCATCTAGATGGCAGCTTGCAAGCTTTTAAAACCCCAGTCGCTACTCACCAAAGTAGGATGTAGAACAATGTTTTTGTGTAGTGTGTTATGCCAATTGAACCTGATGTCCCCTGTGACCATGGTCCTGAGTCCACAGGTCCAACTAAGAGTACTTTATAAACACTCATTTGGTTTTTGTCTTTTTCTCTCTGGTTTCTCCTTCTCAGAGTCTTTGTGTGTGTGTGTGTGTGTGTGTGATTTGGGTGGAAATTTACAGAGAAAATTCACTTTCCATACAGCAGTTCACACACACTTTGCTTCATGACATTGACTACACTTTACCCCAATGCAACAGCTCCCCTCCCACTTCCTCCCAATAGTTAACCTCTTCCCTGTGTCCTTCCCTCCATGCACTCCTGCCCCCTGAGCTGTCCCTCTGTGCATAAACAGCCCTTCTTTCTCCCATGATTTTTCTTCTCAGAGTCATGCTGATAACTCTTCAACTCCCAAACACTAACTGCTAAAATGTCCCCAGGTTCAGTTCTTAAGCCCCTTTTCTATACTCACTTGTTGACCTTATCCAGTCTCAAGGCTTTAAAAGACAACTACATATTGATTACTCCCAAATGTTTATCTCCAAATTGAAGGTTCCATACCACCCCCCGAGCTCATATTTGTATGTTCAACTGTATACTTAACATCCCTGTTTGGATGTCTGTGTAGTTGTTGTTAGATGCCTTTGAATTGCCTTCTACTCATAGTGACCCTGGGAGCTCTGGTAGCATAGTGCGTAAGGCACTTACTGCTAATATTTGAGGGACAATTTTACTGCATACATAATTCTTGGTTGGAAATTTTTCTCTTTCAGTCTTTTATATATACTATCCCATTGTCTTCTTGCTTGCATGGTTTCTGTCAAGAAATCTGAGCTTAGTCTCATTGGTTGGCCCTTGTAGGTAACTTTTCATGTTACCCATGCGTCTCTCATGATTCTTTCTTTGGTTTTGGTAAGTTTGATGATGATACTTCTGGGTGATTTTCTTTTGAGGTCTATCCTGTGTGGGGTTGGTTGGACTTCCTGAATGGATATGTTCTCATCTTTCATCATACCAGGAAAATTCTCTTCCAACAAATCTTTGACAACTTTCTCTGTGGTTTTATTTGTGTCTTCCTGTTCTGGAATTCCAATTACACACAGGTTATTCCTTTTCATGGTATCCCACATGAACCTTAGGCTTTCTTCAGTTTGTTTTGCTCTTTTTTCTGATTTATCCCTTTCCAAAGAAATGTTGAGGTATTTGCCTTCAATCTCACTAATTCTGTCTTCCATTGATTCAATTCTGCTCCTTTCCCCATTCAATGTCTTATCTATTTCTGAAAATTTAGTATTAATCTTCTGGATTTCTGTGTGTAGATTTTGTATCCTTTCTAATTTTTCATTTATTTTATCATTTTGTTCTTGTATTGTCTTTTGAAATTGTTCTAGGACTTTCTCTGTGTTTTCCTTGATCTGTCTCTCAATTTGTTGAAGATATCTAAATATAATTCTTTTGAATTCCTTATCAGGGAGTTCCAATGCTGCTTCTTCCTCAGGGCTGTGTTTTGGGTCTGTATCCTGGTTCCTTGTTTCTCCTGCTTTATCTTCTTTGTGTGGACTGTGATGCTCTGTTCTCTCTGAGGCATTGTAACATTTTTGTGTTTATATTTAATTGATGATTGTATGTTGGAGTGACTTGCTCGCAATTTTTCTTTTCTTTGTATGTTATCTACGCAAGCAGGGTACTGTGCTGTGCTCCTGTATTTGCTGGTGGACAGTACTTACACACTCACCACCTGTCTTCTTTCCTGTTGTCAGCCTTTCGTATGTCCCTGCCAACCATGGCAAACAGAGCCTATTCTTAGGTCCCTGGAATCTGAATGAGAATGCTATCCCTTTAAAATCCAAAATGATTGTCACTCATAAGTATTCAAAATGATTGCACCCTCGGTCACTTGAAATATCCAAAATGGCCACTGCTCGTAAACATTCAAACTGGCTGCACCTTCGGTCACTTTAAATATCCAAAATGATGACCACTGGTAAACATGCAAACTGGCTGTGCCCTCGGTCACTTTAAATTTAAAAAATGGCTCCTGTGTATAAACAATCAAAATGGCTATGCCCTCCAGACAGTGGAAAGTCAACAGCTCAAGTTGTCTCCCACCTTGCTGTTTCCCTTCCTAGTCATAGGCCACCAGTGCAGTCATCCCTGCAGCCCTTGGTGACCAGGGCTGATCTTTAAGTCAATTCTCAGGTTCCAATATCACTTGGAAATATTCAGACTGTTGGACCTGTCAGAGTAGCTGACAGACTGCAGCTCTGACCATCTCTGTACTCATTATTTTCGTTCAGGTTTTTACACTAGTTGGTGCCTAATCCACTTCTGTATAGTTCCTTTCAAAGCTCAGGGCTCCAGGATTATCTTCTGTATCTCTGTCAATTGGTTTTTCTTTTCTTTGTTGAGGAGGGTCTGTGTCACTTGTCGGCCTATTCCTCCATCTTCCCGGAAGTCATCCACTCTCACTTTTAAGGAGCATTCCAATGGCACTTCTTCCAGGACAGATTTGTTTCTTCTTCTGGCAGTCCATAGTACCTTCAGTATTCTTCACCAACCTAACAATTCAAAAGAATCAACTTCTCTTTGGTCTTCCTTATTCGTTGTCCAGCTTTCACATACATATGAGGCTATTTAAAATATAATGGCTTGAGTTGGGTTCACCTTAGTCTTCAAAGAGACATCTTTGCTCTTCAGCACTTTAAAGAGTTCTTTTGCAGCAGAATTGCCCAGTGCAATACGATATCCGATTTCTTGGGTGTTGATGGTGGAAACAGATAATATGAAATCTTTGACAACTTCAATCTTTTCTCCATTTTTTGTGATGCTGGTTATTGTTCCAGTTGCGAGGAATTTTGCTGAGGTGTAATCCATACTGCAGACTGAAGATTAGAGAAGTCTTTAATCTTCATCAGTAAATGATTCAAGTCATCTTCACTTTCAGCAACCAAGGTTGTGTCATCTGCATATCACAGGTTGTTAATGAGTTTTCCTCCAATCCTAATGCCACATTCTTCTTCATATAGTCCAGTTTCTCAGATTATTTGCTCAGCATATAATGAATTAGTATGGTGAAAGGATACAACCCTGACACACACCCTTCATGATTTTAAACCATGCACTATCCCCTTGTTCAGTCCAAATGACAGCTTCCTTGTTGATGTACAGGTTCCTCATGTGCACAATTAAGTATTCTGGAATTCTAATTCTTCTCAATGTTATCCACAATTTGTTATGATCCACACAGTCAAATGTTTTGCATACTCAATGAAACACAAGTAAACATCTTTCTGGTATTCTTTGCTTCCAGCCAACATCCATCTGACATCAACAATGATATTCCTTGTTCCACGTCCTCTTCTGAATCCAACTTGCATTTCTGAAAGTTCTCTCCCAATATACTGCTGCAACCATTTTTGAATTATGTTCAGCAAAATTTTACTTGCGTGTGATATTAATGATATCGTTCGATAATTTCCACATTCTATGGGATCACCTTTCTTTGGAATGGGTACAAATATGGATCTCTTCCAGTCAGTTGGCCAGGTGACTGTCTTCCAAATTTCTTGGCATAGGTGAATAAGTGCCTCTAACACTGCATCTATTTGTTGAAACATCTCAATGGGAATTCCGTCAATTCCTGGAACCTTGCCTTTTTGCCAATTCCTTGAATGCAGCTTCAACTTCAGTATCATTGGTTCTTGAGCATATGTTACCTCCTGAAATAG